ATAGGATTGATAACCACATTTCTAAGTTTTTGTTGAATCGTTGAACAGAACTGTTTGCAATCTTACTATTCGAATCCCCACTTTATAAACTCCACTTTATTATCTTGAATAACTATTATTTGTAAGAAGACAATCTGTAATCTTCAACTAGTCATTTCTTACTGTTTATTTTTTCTTTGAAAGTATGTATTATTTCTACCCATTTTCTGTTTTATTTAGTCTTTCTTTAAATTAAATTTAAATAAAAAAGACACTACAGTACCCAGTGCTGATCATGGAGTGTCATGATGTAAAACCCAGTAATACTATTACTCTTTGTTCAGAATGATTTTAACCTGCTTTAGTTTGTTTAATCTAAACATAAATGAAGATATGGATAACTGCATGTACGTTTAAGTGTATAGGTTTGACAACCATGTTATTAAGTTTTTGTTGGACATTTGAACAGAACTGCTTGCACTCTCGCTGTTTGAATTTCCCCTTTACATGTTCCATTTTTGTATCTTGAACAACTATTTATAAAACAACAATATGTAAACATCAACTAGTGATTTTTTTTTTTTGGTCTTTTCCGTTTTTATGGGTACCAGGGATTGAACTCACGACCGCACACTTGCAAGGCAGGCGCTTATGCCACTGAGCTAAATCCCCAGTGTGGGAAGCCGCCTGAGATGGCGCCCATTTCCTGCTTCCGGGTTCTTCCCGGCCTGAACAAGCCCGCCAAATTGTCATATCTGCCCAGTTACCCGTGACGCTAGCCTATCAGCTTGTTAGGCGCGCTTCTCTGTGATTGGATACTGCTTCCCCTTATAAGAGGTTGTTCCTGCCCCCAACGGGCGGAAGAGGAACCAACGTTGAGGGTGGCGGACCTTGTCAGGTCCGGTTCGCTGTACGTAATAAAGTTTGAGAGCTGATCCTGCTCGAGTTTGGCCTCCTGTCTTCCGCGGCTCCGGTCATCTGGTGGCCGCCCGTACGGGGAAAAAGGTAAAAGACTCAGCGACGTGCCTCTTCGGCCGGGAGGTGCAATTGCTGTCGCCTGCGGTACGACGGAGGACCTGGCCCAATAACAACGGAAGGCCGCGAGCGCCTCTTCTCTTCACCCTGATCAGCTACGTGAGATACAGCGGTTCCCGGGACAGGTGAGTACTGGGTCACCTGGGTTGGGTGGACGCACCTAACAGATTTTGAGCGCCACACGGGTGGACGCCGGTCTTTTTTTTTTTTCTTTTCTTTTCCCTTTGCATCTGTTTTGCTTTCGCTTCGCTAATACAGCCCAACAGGCTTTTGATAGAGCTCGATCGGAATGCTCAGAGGAGCCCGGAGCCACTGCCGATTGTGGGTCTCCGGAGGACCCTCAGGGCTCTAATTCTGATTCGGATTCGGAAGGCTCAGAAGAGGAGGTCGTCTTTGCTAAGCATGACCCTCCTACACCGTTAAAAGAGGAACTTAGGGCTCGGGAAGATAAAAAGGGGAACCAAACACCACCCTGCCCGAGCTACTCCGCCTTACGGGAGGAGCTTAAGCCCTTCCGCCCTTTGGCAAGTTCGCGACCCACGATCGCACCTTTCAGGGCGCCAGGCCCCACTGCACCGCCGTGGCCGGAAGAGGAGTTGCTCCCTGGGCTGCCACCTCCGCCCGTGGCCGCCGGAGGGCGCCCACAACCTATGGCACCGCCCTGGTTAGAGGGAGAGCTACTTCCTGGGTTGCCTTCTACAGCTAGACATCCAGACTCGGTCGCTTCCCTTTCTCTAGAGGGCATCTCACGAGCCATACAACACTTTGGGGTGCCTCCTTCCTCCCTACATGTACCATACACAAGAGAACAAATTGAGACCTTAACAACGTGTCTAGATTCCTGGGCGATTCTCCGGTGTACGTTTCAAGGGACCATAGATAATCAATTCCCAAAAGACCCACTACTTCAGTTTATTACAGTACATCCGCATACCCCATAACTGGAGCTCCAATAATCTTCACGGATAGGCGCATATGTGGTTATGGGTCAAGAGCCAAAAACTATCCAATTCACCCACTCATACCAACCCCAGGTGGTCGAGCTCCAGATAATACAGGAAGTCTTACGTCGCTTCCCAGGTGACGTTAACCTCCTGTCAGACTCCAAGTCCTCCATATTCCTAGGTATTCAACATCAGCTATGGAATAGAACCTCAATCATTCCCCTGCCATGGAGCACAATAACCCGTCCCCGGCCGACAAAGGGCTGGTGAGATGGAAAGATGTCCTTACAGGACAATGGATGGGCCCGGATCCAGTGATTAGCTGGACCCGAGGTGCGGTTTGTGTTTACCCACAGGAACCAGGCTGCGAACCGCTGTGGGTCCCGGAAAGATTGACGCGAGCAGTAAACTCCCCACCAGTTCCTGATAAAGCACAGGAGGATAAGCCCGCGGACACAAGTCAACTCGACCCTTCTGGGACCGACGCTCAGCGCCCGAGACCATCTACAAACTAAAATGTCTGGTTTGGAGTTTTTTCTATTCTGTAGGTTCCTATTAATCACCCCTGTTCGCACAAATTTGACCAACACTGTTAAAAATATGACAGCTTGGCTGCAAGACACCTACCTACCTAAGTTTCACAATTTGTCCCTCATAGTCGGTCAGGAACTTGACAATATGGACGGTATCCAACTAGGTCCAGTCAGGTTCGATTTATCAACTTTAGGCAGTGTTATAGCCAGTTTGTAGGAATGCGTCACCTCCTGGTTCTCCTGGCCCAACCTGACTACTTGGATCCTGATTGCCATGGCCATCCTAGTGGGGCTTGTGGTTATTAAATGCTTGTTAGATCGCCTCATACAAACTCAGCAGCAGGTTAAGATCACAGCCATGGCAGCCATGCAAATGGCAGCAGGTGGTCCATCAGGCCAGCAGGCCGCCGCAAATCTCCTTCACATTGCAGAACATCAGTTATAAAAGCTGAGTGGGCAAGCCAATGACGGGTAAGACGGGAGACGTCCTCCCGGTCAACCTAAGACAGGCTCCACTCAGATATACATGGCCTATAAGGCCAGGGGTCCCTTCTGGAGTCAAATTATTGGCATTGAGATGCGAGACCAAGGGTACTGCAGTGCCATCCGCCTCAAAGGTTGGGGGGAAGGCATGAATGAATGTCTATATGCATCCAGGTTCGGTTCGCATATGCCTGGCCCTGCGAAAAAATGAACCACTCACCTTGAGCATGGTCCTGGCGCAAGGATATGCACAAAACAGGGTGATGCACAGCAGGGTATAGACCTCTACATTCTCTCATGCCTCGGCCTACAAGGTAGGCCCACTCCTAGGTGTCTAACAGCAACAAGGTCATAGACACCTTGGAGGGACCCACAGACCATCCTATTTTAATAAATAAAAAAGGGGGAGATGTGGGAAGCCGCCTGAGATGGCGCCCATTTCCTGCTTCCGGGTTCTTCCCGGCCTGAACAAGCCCGCCAAATTGTCATATCTGCCCAGTTACCCGTGACGCTAGCCTATCAGCTTGTTAGGCACGCTTCTCTGTGATTGGATACTGCTTCCCCTTATAAGAGGTTGTTCCTGCCCCCAACGGGCGGAAGAGGAACCAACGTTGAGGGTGGCGGACCTTGTCAGGTCCGGTTCGCTGTACGTAATAAAGTTTGAGAGCTGATCCTGCTCGAGTTTGGCCTCCTGTCTTCCGCGGCTCCGGTCACCCCAGCCCCAGTGATTTCTTACTGTTCATTTTTGTCTCTGATCATATATATTATTTCTACCTATTTTCTGTTTTTAGTCTTTAAATAAAATTTTTTAAAAATTAAGTTTATTGGTACATTTTAGGTATACATAATGATCACATTCAGTATAGGACTTTGTAGCTGCCCCCAATATATCTTCTTTTTTACATGCTTCTCCCTTCCCTTCAACCCCTTTCCTTCCTTACTTTTCTCCTTTTTTGTTTTCCCAGCCTTACTTTCCCACTCCCCCTCCTTGGTTCCCCTTCCCATTTGAACATTTTCTTCATATTTCATAGTATTTAAACAACTAGAAATCTTATACATTGCTAATTGAAGTGTAAGGAAAAATTTTGGCAGCATGTAGTAAAATTAGATATTTTTATACTATATAACTGAGGAATTCCAGTCCTAGATGTATTTCCAACCAGAATGAGTCCGCAAATGCATCAAAAGATATGCTTAAGAATGAGGGAAGATTCTCAAAAAACGTAAATAAATAAAAAGTACACAGCAAAGTCCATAACCTTCGCTTTGAAATAACTCAGAAGATTGAACACTAAGGTGGTGGAATATTAAATAAGGAGAACAGTGACATTCTGTGAGCACGTGGTTCTTCTCCCTCTGACCTACCGCTGCTGGTAAGAAATAAGTACGACCGACCGGTTCTTAAGGGAGAAAAGTAAAGGAGAAAGAGGTTATTCCCCGACTCTGAAGCCCTGATGTGATAGTAGACAAAAAACTGACAGAAACCATAGACAGAAAAGACAATTTTCAACAGGAAATATCTCACAGTAAATGGCACATGCCATGCAGCGTGTATGGAAAATCTTTTAAGCCTTTAGACGTTACTTTTAAAGAAGAAAAAAAGTCAGTAAAACAGTATTTTCCAAGTAGCCACATAGGCATTCCTCTTCCAACATATATAAACCTAATTAATTCAAAATAATCTTTATTCAAAAACGCCTGAGTCGTCAAACTTTGATAACTGTAAATCTTAGATTGCAGTATTTGACAGGAAGACATTGACCCCATGTTGACTAGTTATTAAGATGTAGCGACAAGAATCAACTGGCAGTTTTCTACATCCACCGCCACTAAAAACCGGGATCCCTGGGGTGACGCGGCGGGCAGCTGAGAACTGCACCGCAAGCCTCGCCCAAGCCCCTCGGACCCTCGGCTCCCAACCCCGCCCAGTGGCGGAGCGCAACCTTAGTCCGGCTTGACGGTAGCCCCGCCCCGGGGAGTAGCCCCGCCCCGGAAGTGTACCCTCCCCCCAAGAGTTGCCGCGTCTCTATGGAAACGACCTACCTCCTAGCGCGGGACTGCGAGCACTATGGCTGCTGGGGAGCCAGGGGTTTTAGGCGGTTACTACTTCAGGTTCCTGCCTCAGAAAACCTTCCCATCTCTGACCGCCCCGGAGACCACCAGCCGGCTCCGCCAGTGGTGAGGGGCCGACGGCCAGGGGGGTTAGAGCCCCTGGGCCTTCGCGGCTGAGGAGCCCCTGCCCGGCGTCGAGGGCGCGCGAGCCGGGGCGGCCGGACCGGAGTGAAGCCCCAGAGCGGCGGCGGCGGCGGTGGCGGCGGCGGCGGCGGCGGCGGCGGCGGCGGCGCGCGGGCTGGGCGGGCCCGGGTTGGCCCTGGCGGGTTTTGTACTCTTGAGTGCCGCCGACCCCAAGATGACCGTTTTTCCTCCTCTGCCCCAGGTCCATGCTGGGCAGAATCAAGGCGCAGGCGTTCGGGTTTGACCAGACCTTTCGGGCCTATCGGAAGGATGATTTCCTTATGGTTGGTATGGGGGCCGCAGAGTTCCTAGTCTCTTGTGATTTTTTAGCTTTTCCCTATGTCAGCATATATTCTTGTGAAAATGGCATTTTTTAGTGACATCGTTTTTTTGGAGTCTGGGAATAATAAAACATGCAAATAGTGTATTTTAAAAGAAACGTTTACATTTCTTCCCCGACCATAAATTCATTTTGTTTTGTAGTGATTAGTTGTTTGGTTTTTAAAACAGTCTCGCTACATAATTCAGTCTGGCCTTCAGCTCATTAAGAAACCCAGGCTCAAACTCAGAGATCCGCCTACTTAAGCCTCCCCGTTGCTAGGTGTGCCAACCACCACATTTGCCCATGAATTTTTTTCAGTTAACCTATTCTTTTCTTACTTTAACATTCTGTCTTAGAGGAGACCGTTTCAGTCTTGGATAATGGCTTTTTTAATAGGCACTTCTCATTTTTAATATTATTACCCACCTTTGACACTGGCTTTTTTAGTACGCTTAGCATCAGATTATTTTTGGTTGTTTTTCAAAATCAAATGCACCGTGAGAACGGGGCTTCGGGCTCTACTGCAATTCTGAATACAAAATTGCCTTAAAAAGTTTTAAGTAATGGCATGTGATTAGAATAAGTAAATCTTTAGCTACAGATAATTTGAAATAAAGCTCACTACAAAGTGTTTTATGGGCTCCTTAAAATCATTATTTTTAATCCTTTTTCTCCCTCCGCTCTCAACCCTTAGTCAATTTGGAAATAATTTTAGCGTTGTGAAATTATCTTCATTCTTTCCCGTTCATGTCCTATAAGCATGAACTTCATTTTATACAGTAGTTGGCATAATTTACTCATTTCAAACACTGAGAGGATACGAAATGCTACAAATTTCCCCACATGCTGGAAATTATAAGCACAAAGCTAGTCCTTCTTCCACAGATCTTAATGGGCCCTTGGCAACATTGCCAATAAACAGAAAAAATCCAATCACTGCCTATATAAATGCAGGTCCCCTCATTGACTCACTTGCAGAGAAACTCAGATTCTAGCAATATGTTCACAAGGTCATATGTTTTTGTTTGTTTTTTGGTACCAGGGAACTCAGGCTTGCCAGGCGGGATCCCCTGCCCTGGTCATACGTTTTTGAAAATTTTCAAAGAAAAGTTGTTTTGTTTTGTTGGAGTAGTTGAAATTATATAAAACTGAGGCCCTCTAAAGTCTGAAAGGTTCTGTCATTTGGCTTTAATTAGCTGTCTGGGTTCAAATTACAAATCTGGCATTTACAAGGTATGTGACATTAGAAAGTGATTTAATTCAGCCTCCCCTTACCTTACTACAGAGTGGTCACAGCACTTAGCATTTAATAGGTGTAAGCTTGATGCTTAACCTCCATTTTCTTAGAAAACTGAAACTCAAAAAAGTGGTTTTTTCACAATGCCCAGCAACAGGATTTTGACTGCAAATTACCTGCTGTTTTTATTGTTTGTTTTTCTAGTGCTAGGGTTTGAACCCAGGGCCCTCACCCTACGCTGTGTCCTTGGCCCTTTTTTGTTCTTTATTTTAAGACATGGCCTCACTAAGTCTCTGAATTGCCAAAACTAGGCTGAAACTTTAACCCCCCTTGCTTCAGCCTTCCAGATTACAAGGAAAGGCCACCACACTCAGCTTCCCTATTGTTTCTACTAAATGGACTCATAACTAAACTAGAGCTATTGCTTAAACCAGAATTTCAGATTTTGAATTTGGTTTCAACTAAAAACTGTGTTCCAGAAATTTGTGAGGGAGTAAATAGAAGAAAGGAAACATTTCTTTTATTTCTAAGTTTGTACAGATGGCATATACCCAGTTAAAGAGGAAAACAACCAAATATTTCATTGAGTGAGAAATGATGACATTACCCTAGGCACAAGACACTTTGGTGACACAAAAAGAAAGTAATCAGTTTTTTAAATAATTTTTTTAAAAATTTAGGGGCTGGGGATTTTAGCTCAGCAGCATAAGCGCCTGCCTTGCAAGCAGGCAGTCGTGAGTTCGATCCCTGGTACCGAAATAAAGGAAAAAGACCAAAAAAAAAAAAAAAAAATTTAAGTAGTCAGCTGGTCCGATGGCAGTGGGTTATCAGAACTTATTAACATTAGTGTCACTAAAGTTGGTGTACCACCCCCCCACTGCTAAATTTGACTAGCTTTAAAAAAAAAAATTAAGTCACCATATGTTGGATCATCGAAAGTGATCATTTTCACCAAGATAGAGAAGGATTTAACAAAAGACAAGATTCTTGAAGTAGGACATGAACGATTAGGAGTTTGTCAGGAGCCCAAGTTAAAGGATAGTGGTGAAGAGATAGTTGGGTTACTATTTCAGAAGTACTTCTCTGCCACGAAAGGAGTTTGGGCTTTAGCAAACAAGGAGACACTAAAGGATTTTATAGAAGGCTATTTTTTTCTTTTTTCAAAACCATTTTATTACCAAAAGAAAAAACAACTTCAAAACACAGCAGTCGGGGCAACAATGGTACATGCATTGTGTGCATTGCCATTCCCAAATCATAAGACTTTAAAATAATGGAAATGTGACTTAGTGGTAGAGTACTTAGAGTGGTAAAGTAGCATACACAATACACTGAGTTTGATCCCTGGCACCATAAAAATAAAACAGTGAGATCATCGTGGCAGAGGTGTGGACAGCAGATTAGAAGCATGAAACCATCATTTCATCTAGACCACCAGTGGCAAGATCTATGGTACTTGTGATGTCATGAGTTATTTACTGTCCTTGAAAACTCAAAGTTTTGCCATCAGTTACTGCATCATGTATGATGATATCCTGAATTAGGACTAACACCTAAATAGCCAGCCAGGGAGGCATTTAGGAGAGAGGCTCAATAACATACTGAGTAAAGGACAGAGGAATCTTTATGCTGAGTCCTAAGTTTCTGACTTGTTTGACCGCTAATGTTACTGTTAAATGCACAGAAAATGTGAAGAATAAATAAGGAAAATAAGTTCAGTTTTAGGCTTTTTCAGCTGGAGGTACATCCAAGTAGCAATGTTCTACATATATAATGTCTAACATTTGATCTTAAGGCCTTGTTATCAATACATAGTGTCAGAATCCCACTGTGATACCAGATAATGAGAGAATTTTTCCATATAAACAAGTCTTAATTTGCAGAGCTTTTGTTAAGGCCTGCACAACATTTAGGCTTACATCTCATGATCAGAACTTAAGCACGTGACCATATCCAAGGGAGGTTAGAAAATGCAGACTTAACTGAGCACATTGCCGTTCTAAGTAAGTTAGAGTTCATTAAGAAAGAGAGGATTACTTCTGAATTTGAAATCAGCAGTTACAAGATAGGTAGTTAAGTAAGATTAATTTAGAAATGCTTTTTCTCACCCATGCAGTGAAACAAGTTATTTAAAGTCTTCATGTATATTTTGATATCAGTATCTTTGTTATTAAGTTAGTTTATAAGTCACCTAATATTTTCCCAAGCACATCAGCTTTCCTAAAGTTCGATTGCAAAGAATCCCTTGTACTGCCTCACTGAAAATTGTGTACCAGAATACCACCTACAAAAAGGACAGTTATAAAAGAAAAAGACGGTTATGTATAAATTCATTTTAGGTGTATAATTAGATTATAGTAATAAAGCATGCATTGCTTTATGAAAGGGGCCTCTATTAAAAACCTGTTTCTGGAGGCTGGGGATTTAGCTCAATGGCATAAGCGCCTGCCTTGCAAGCAGGTAGTCATAAGTTCGATCCCCGGTACCGACAAAAAAAAAAAAAGTTTAAAAAACCTGTTTCCATTGGTATGTCTATTTTCTGCTAGTCATGTGATTTACAGACATCTAAGACATATGATTGTGAATTAATACCTGGAATAATTAGTAAAGCCAGCACTCTAGTTTGACAGACTTTTAAAACGTTATATAGCAGCTTCTTTTTTTGAGGACTAATTTTAAGAAAGTTTTAAAAATAATCTCAAGAGGCTAAGGCAAGATGATTTGCCATGAATTTGAGGCTAGCCTAGGCTATGTGGTTAGTTCAAAGCCAGCTTGAATTACAGAGCAAGACCTTGTCTCCATAAGTAAAATAGTAACAACAACAATAATAAATCATACATAGTGTTTTTTATTTTCTGTAGGTTTGCATTTATTGTGGTGCATGTGATCAAATCTAGGGCCCCATGCACGCTAGGCAAGCATGAGCTATAACCCCACTGAGATGCAACCCCAGGCTTCCTGTTTTTTAATATAATACCTGTAATTAAATTAAAAATCCACCACTGGGGGCTGGGGATTTAGCTCAGCGGCATAAGTACCTGCCTTGCAAGCAGGCAGTCGTGAGTTCAATCCCCAGTACCGATAAAAATGAAAAACACACGCAAAAAAAAAATCCACCACTAGAACGTAGCACCATGCAGACAGAACTTGTCTGACTTGGCTTAGTATATGTAGTCATAAATAAGTCTCACTTCGCATGCTTAGCCCTCTTCATTATTGTCTTTGTCATTACGTGGCACTTATTCTGCCCAGTTGTTCATGAAGTAACCTCACGAGTCATCTTTTACTCCCTTCACTCCTTTTTTTTCTTTCCCTAAGTATCATTTGAATACATGTACTTTGTACTTGCTACCACTCTTACTGCTGTATCAGCTCCTGGGTCATTTCTGCCAGCAGTCATCTCCCTCCTAACATCTTTTTACAGCGCTTGGCAGTGTAACTTTCTTTTTTTTTTTTTTTTCTTTTTTGGTACTGGGGATTGAACCCAGGACCTTACACTTTTCAGGAAAGTGCTTATGCTGCTGGGCTATATCCTTAGTTAAATGTGGTGTTTTTTGTTTCTGTTTTTTGTTTTTGAGACAGGGTCTCACTGTAGACCAGGTTGCCCTCAAACCTATGGTTTCCCTAGCTCTTAGGTGCTAGACTTACAGATGTGTGCCACCATGCCTAGGTAAGAATAAACTTCTTAAAACAAGATTCTAGCTGAGCAGGATGGCACCCGTCTGTAATCCCAGATACTGGGGAGGATGAAACAGGAGGGTTACAAATTAAAAGGCCAGCCTGGGCAATTGGGCAAGACCTATCTCAAAATAAGACAAAGGGCTGAGGATGTAGCTCAGTGGTAGAGAGCTTCCCTTAAGGGATCAGACTGAGTTCAATCTTCAGTTACACACACACACACACACACACACACACACACCCTAAAATTTCTTCACTTGACTACAAGGTCTAGTTTAACTCCTACCCTTATATCTGATCATTTTTCCTTCTACTATGGTCCTTCTACTGTGTTCTTTTACTTCCCTTGAATAGAACGGCCAATGGTTTCTTACCTTACAGCCATCACGCATGCTGTTTTCTCTGCCTTATAAACTGCCATGTTGGACTCTGTTTAGGACAACCAGACTGCTACATTTTCAATAATCTATCTTTGCTGGTTAAAACTGTTAGCATTTTAAAGTCCATAATGAAAAGTGACAGATGCTAACCAAGTGTAGTGAAATAGGTGAAGGCATAGTGAGGTTACCCATAAACTCACTACCCCAGAGTGGCCTCAAACTTGAAAGATCCTCTTGCTTCAGCCTCAGAAGTACTGGGGTTACAGGCTTGTGCTACCATGCTCAACATGATTTTTTTCCTGTGTTTTTTACTATTTAAATTGTTACAATAAACATTATTTTTCAGCATTCTTTTCAAGTGATCACCTTTTCTAAGATTCTTGAAGGAAGAATCATCTAAGCTTATATATGTTTCAATTCTCTGTCACTCATGCCTCTGTATCTGGTTTCTGTTTCCTTCATTTAATCAAAGGCACTCTTGCCTTCCTAATCCAGTGAATACTGATTGCCCTTGGAGCTTAAGGCCTAAAAAAGGAGACAGTAATATGCTGTATTACAAAAAAGTACATTGCTACCCATGTACATAATAGACGATCCTAATCTAGTAGTGTTCAGAAAAAAAGTTAATGGAGAAAAAAAGCACTTAGGGTTAGACCTAAAGGGTAAGTAGGAGTTAAGTGGGCCAGGAGGTATACTGTTAACAATTCATCCCCTTTCCCAAAACCTGGACCTCTAACACTTGACCTTTTTCCTTTGTAAGACAAAGGCTTACTGTATAGTTAAGGCTGACCTTGAACTCACGGCAATCTTCCTGCTTTGGCCTCCTAAGTAATTGGAACTATAGTGGTATTCTGCCACACTTGGCTTATTTATGCCTGGGTTATTTATATTTCTTTCACTGCACTTAAACTTGAGCATCTTTTCACAAGTTTATTGATGGTTTCTTACATGGCTGTTTATAGTATTTGAACAACTTTTAAGTCAGTTGCCAGTTTTTCTTATTGAACTTTTTTATTTAGCCATTAGAAGTGTGAGATCATACTCTTTATAATATTTGTTGCTGTTTTGTAAATCAATCTATTGTTCTTATTATTCATCGTGGGTATTGTGTTTTCTGGGTGTCCAGAAGTTTTTGAACATCCATGTGACTTGGGGGTAATTTATAAATTTTTTTTTTTTTTAAAGCAGAGCAGAACACAGAACAATTGAAGGTATTCCCATATATTCAGAACATAAGATTCTGGGTTGTGCTGGAGGCTTAGCTCTGGCAGAGCAAGTACTTAGCATAAATAAGGCCCTAGATTCAGTCCACAGCAGCAAATAAGAAAATAGAAGTCTGGGACATAGGTTTACCATCCAGACTAATCAGTTCAGAGCAGATTTTGAGCCTGTGTATAGAACATATACCTCTAACCCCAGCTGCTTGGGAGACTGGAACAGGAGGATTACAAATTCAAGGTCAGGGTAGACAATTTTACTAATGTTTAAGTCTCTAAAGTTTTTTTAAAAGACTGGGCACTGAGGCATACATCTGTAATCCCAGCACTCTGGGAGACTGAGGAAGGAGGAGCCCAAGTTTTGAGCCCAGTGTGGACAATTTCATGACTTGGACCTTATAAAAAAAAAAAAAAAGATTGGAGATGTAGGTTCAATACAAGGGCCCCAAGTTGAATCCCTAGAATGAATGAATGAATGAATGGCTTTGTGAGCAACTTACAGGAAGCAACCACAGAACCCATTTCATTGGAAAAGGTGGTAGCAGAGGCATCTAACTTTAAGGCTGGCTAGTCTCAGCACAGCAGTGGTATTAGGTAGAAAGAGATGGTAATATGACCATAGCAACCTAAATGCACTTGATCTTTAGAAGTCATGAAGGGTTGGACCCAATTGGTTCTTAGGTAAAGGCGAAAGTGATAATGGCCTCCCTAGTTTTTGATGGCTGCCAAAGAGTGGCAGCTTCCTCATCATGGGAGTTTTCCATACGATTTTGTTTCATTACCACAGTTCATCCTGGAGCCTGATGTTCTCTACCTCCTGAAAATTTTTGGACTGCCTGAGATCTTTTAATAAACTTTCCATTTGCTTTTTCAGTCAGTCAGCTGCTAGTACTTGGAACTAAAACTTAATGCTATGTTCGCTTTCATATCATATACAGCTTTCATTTTTAGGAAGTCAAATCTATCAACTGCTCTGCTCCTGTTGGGCAGAATTAAACTGATGGCTACTTTTAGACCTAGTATATAAATGTCCATTATAGTGATTAATTCAAAAAACAAGATGGAAGGAAAGTTGTCAAACATATAATCTAATTTTACTGTAAATCATTATTTTTTGTTTATTAAATTAATCTTCAAAGACTTTACTTAGTGTTCACACTTCAGGTTCCAATTTGAATGTAATAAAGCTTCATTTACTAGATATTTTACTAATATTCAGTTGCCTTTTGAAATTTAAATGAGATTTTACTGGAGTTTTTTAGAAGTAGATTTGTATAATTATTTATAATAGGCTAACAAATTTCCCTCCAATTTCTATTTTAGGCTTTTTTCAAAGACCCAAATGTTATTTCGAATTTGCAGTTACTTTCAGATTCTTCTGCACAATGGATGACATTAGGTAAATAAAATTAATTTTCATTTTCTTAGATGACTATCTTACTATTATAAAGAACTTTACCTCAGAAATTTTCATTTCTGAAATACTAATTGTGGCTGGATGTGGTGGTGCTTATAATCCCAGTTGCTTTGAAAGCTATGACAGAAAGAAGGCAGGCTTGAGACCAGCCTGGGCAACAAAAAATATACAGATTGGAGCTGAGTTTAGTGCCAGAGCATTCAGCAAGTATGTGTGAGTCCCTGGATTCAACATTTTTTTTTTGAGACAGGATTTCATTATTCAGTTCAGGCTGGCCTTGAATCCACTTTATAGTCCAGGCAGGCCTCAAACTCACAGTAGTCCTCCTGAGTGCTAAGATTACAGGTGTGTGCGACCATGCCCAGCCCAACAATTTTAATGCAAATTGTGAAGAATGATTTGTCTGATAACATCGAGATTAAGTTTCATTTTGTGCCACTTTTGCCTGTCATCTCTCTCCTGGAAGTCTATTTCTGTTATCCTGACTTAGCCCACAAGAGCAATTTGTATCTCCCTATCTCTATCTCTATCTCTATCTCTATCTCTATCTCTATCTTTGTCTCTGTCTCTGTCTCTGTCCCTTTATTATTTCGTTCTGTTCTAGAATACTAAGAATTGAGCCTCAGCCTTTGAACCCACTGAGCTACATTCCCAGCCCTTTTTTAATTTCTCACTTTAAAACAAAGTCTCACTAAGTCACAGAGTTGCCCATACTGGGCTTGACCCTGCAGTCCTCCTACCTCAGCCTCCCAGACTGCTGGGGCCACATGTGTGTATCATGACACCCAACTCTTACATTTCATTATTTTAGAAGGCATTTATTTTGCTTATTCCATGTACTTTGCTAGATACAAGGAACATTATGGTAAGAGAAAACTTTTACTCATGGAACTTGCTGATATGTTAAAATGTATGTATGTGTTATAATAATGTATTACAGGTTCTACTGTAGAAGTTAGAATATAAAGAAAGTGGAGTGGTCAGTTCTAAATAGAGGAAAAAGATCAAAAAATTACCCTCTAATGTGGGAATGCTTGAGTAAAGTCTCAGTTGGCTTGAGGACATGGATTTCTGACACAGGCATCAGCTACAATGGAACTTTAAATAATAATGCATTCAAGCATGGAGTGCCTTAAATTCTTAGAACCTTGTATTGATATCATTTTCATTATACATTGAAACCAGCTGGGCTATGTTCTGTTTGTAGCATTAAGAAGTAATATATATTCAATTATATATTCAAACATACCTGAATATATAAAATAAGAATGGATACTCCTAAAAAACAAAGAAAAAGGTATGAAATTTAACAAAAAATTACCTGATTAACTGCATTCATTTATACATCTTAACTCTCAGGTAGAAAAAAATATCAGATTTAATAAAAGACTATTTTGAAAACAAAAATATGAACATTGTATTTTAAATTTAGGATTGAAAAGTCTCAACAGTAGAACAAATTAAATTATCATTCCATTTAGAAGGAGAAACTGGTGATAAGCATTTGTGGTCAAGAAAATGCAAATTGATGTGAAATTAGATGTTCTTGTTGGGTGGTCTGTTAGTAAATTATCACATTGTGTTTTCATTGGATTCTAGAAGCTTTAACACAATATCTTTTTTTAAGTATTAGTCAAGAGCAAGATTACAAATAGTTCATGATGTTAGACTAAGCAGGTCAGATTTTATTGTTTTTGGCTGAGTACTACTATAAAACTTAAAGCACAAAAAGCCAGTAGAGCGTGATCTTCAGACTACTTGGCAAAATTAAACTGAGTATCTGAGCACATATGTAACTCCTAACTCAGATTTTCAAAAGAGAATACTCTTAACTGTGTACCATAGTGTTTACAAAGCACATTTACAGTAACTTCAGTCACTCTATTTGAAAAAAAGTAAGATTCACTGAAAAAAGTATTCGGTCTTCTCCCATATTGGTACATACCTCATAAAATAGCACTGACTTTTTTGTAGTCTTTAAATAAGCATTTCAGAGAGGCTCTTAATTCCACATGTCCCTGACAGGATCAATTAGAAGTACTCTGAAAACTAGGAGAGAAGGAGTAGCACTCCATTTCAGAAGCTGTAGAGTGCTACAAGAACTCTTCCATTCACTTGTGTTTTTTACCTCTTTTTTTCTCTTGTTATATTGGTCAGTTTTACTCTGGGGACCATTATAAGCAAAGGAATCAGCTTTTAAAACTAGAAAAGAGACTTTCTTCTAGCAAGTGAACCATTCTAAGGAAAGTAATGATGGAGGTACACAGCTGTAATCCCAGCATTCAGGGAGGCTGAGACAGGAGGATCATCAGTTCCAGTCCAGCCAGGGCAACTTAGCTATGTAGCAAGACCCTGTCTCAAAATAAGAAAATTTTAGAAAAGACTGGGGATGTAACTTAATGTGAAGGCCCTTGGTTCAATCCCCAGTACCACAAGGGAAAAAAAAAAAAAAAAGGAAAAACTAGCTGTACTGGATATTTGGCTAAGTGTTAGTGCTGTTTCATCTTCTCAGCCAGGTACTTTAGTCTCCTTCACTTACATATATGTTGCCTTTTTCAGAAAATATATAATAGATGCTTCCTGTGTATATACTCAGCTATGGGCATCACGTACATTCTTTAATTCTGAGGGAGATACCAGTATTTTACAAATGAGGGTTAAGAGCATATACTAAGTAATTTGTACAGGTTAACACACAGCTGGCAGGATAGCACTGAGATTGAAATACACACTCCAGAATTCAAGATCTTGACTACTACATTGTCTTGCCTCTGTCACTTCCATGTTGATGGGCTGTCAAAAAAGCACTAATATATGGCATCAAATAAAAAGGGGATACCTAGTAAAAATGGGGTACCTAGTTTATTAAATATGCTAACATTTTAGGGGAGAAATGCAATATGTTCTTAACTTCTGTATGTGGCCAGAGTGATGCATTGCATAGTGATATGATTTATATCAAGAATGTCCCCCTCAGGCTTTTGACAGGTAACTGAATTATGGGGACATTACAGCTGACTTGCTGTTAGGTAAAGTAAACATTTAGTGATTAATTAAAATAAGCTGCAAAAGCTGTGTGTGATGGGGTTTACCTCTAATCCCAGTACTTAAGAGGAGAACTTGTGGCAGGAAGATTGCCACAATTTCACGGGTAACCTGGGCTGCATAGCAAGGCTCCATCTCAAAAAAAAAAAAAAAAAAAATTGCAAAGTAAAAATTTAGTAAAATCCTTAAAGTGTTTTTTAAATATAGTTGTGTGGGCTGAGGATTTAGCTCAATGGCTCAAGGCTTGCCTGGTAAGCGCAGGATCATGAGTTTGATCCCTGCTACCAAAAAAAAATCAGTCAATAAATACAATTGTGTGTTGCTTAGCAGTGGACTGCATTGTGAGAAGTTCATCATTAGGTGATTTTCTTTTGTGAACATCATAGAGTGCACTTAGCAAATCTAGGTGGTATGGGCCTGTTACTCAGGGTACTATAGCCTCTTGCTGTAATCAAAGAGATACAGTAAACATGAGCTATATGTAGTTGCTGCTGGTTTAACACAGCCTAAATTTTTACAGTAAGCTTTTTTGATAGAAGTATATGCAAATGATAAAAGTATAGTACAGTAAATACATAAAACAGAACATATTCATTTATTATCAAGTATTGTGTAGTGTATATATGTACTTTTATAGGACTGGCGTGTGTTAGGCTTTTTACACCAGCATTTGCACAAACACATGAGTATTGCATTGTACAGTAGTGTAATGTCACAACAGCTACAGCAACACTAGCCAATGGGACTATTCAGCTCCATTTCAATCTTACTATACCAGTGTGGTATATCTAGCTGTCACTGACCTAAACATAATTAGGCAGAAAACAAGACTATAACCAAACATACGTCATATTTGGTTACTTCTTAGAACCTCCATACTTTCTAAGTTTCTAATAGTTTCTAATAAATTTTTAGAAATAATTGAGAATGTTAAATTAACTTTTATATTTCTCTTTATAAATAAATATTTTAGGAACTGAAGTAAAAAAAGTTGAAGCTACAAATGTTCCTTGCACACAGCTTTCAATGTCATTTTTTAATCGGTTGTATGATGAAGATATTGTACGAGATACTGGACATATCATTAAGTGTTTAGATTCTTTTTGTGATCCATTTCTTATTGCTGATGAGTTACGAAAAGTAAGTACAATATTTTAAATTTTACAGTGTAATTTTATTTCAGAAAATGCAAAATGTCAAAAACTTTTGCCTTCCTAAAATTCATAAAATACTTGTTAGTAAATATTAGTAATAATCATCACATTGCTGTATTTCTTCTTGGGTAACACTTTTACTGTCAACTTAATTATTTGAATATTTCAGTAGTTCTCAGTTGTATCACTGACATCTGATAAGTAGAAGCAAATAGTCTAAGCCAGGTGCACCTGACACCTCATAAGTAGTGATGCTGCTAAACACTGTACAACTCACTGGAAGGTTCCCCACAAAAGTTATCTGGCCCAATGTGTCAGTAACGCAGAAGTAGAGAAGTTGGCCTGATAAATTAATGGCTATTAATGTTGAAACTCTTGAAGTATCAAATGAATATCTGAATATCCTTGATGTAATGAATTCTTTTCATCTCATTGTGGAAGTCAGCAAAGCTAAATTAAATTCACTAAATTTAATTTTTAGAGAAAGATCCACTAAACTTTAACATTAGAATACATATTTATCTAATTTCTTGGACAATAACCTTAGGCAAATCATTCAGCTCCCACCCTCCGTGCCTGTTCTGGGCATTGAGCCCAAGGCTATCACACTGAGCTAAATCTTCAGCCATTTTGTATTATTTTGTGACAGTGTCTCACTAAGTCACTAAATTGCCCATGCTGGGTTGGAATTTATGATCTTCCTACCTCAATGTCCCAGAGTTCTGGGATTGTAGGAGTGGCTACTACACTAAGCACAAATCAGTTCAGTCTTTTTGAGCCTCAGGATCTTATTATACAACACAGAGATGAAAATGCCTAGTCTATCTTCTTTTTTTTTTTTTTAAATCGGTACCAGGAATCGAACTCACGACTGCCTGCTTTCAAGGCAGGTGCCTATGCCGCTGAGCTAAACCCCCAGCCCCTATTCTATCTTCTTAAAAATCACTGAGGAAGTGAGTTGGAGCATTTAGATGTACACTTCAGAAAGTATGAAATTCAGCGAGGCGTGATGGCAGATGCTTGTATTCTCAGCACTCAAGCTGAGTAAGAGAATTACGGGTTCAATGCCTACCTGGGCTATATAATGAAACTCTAAAGTTCAAACTGCTCTTAAAATAAAATGTCTTATAAATGTTTTTATTATATTTATAGTGCCTTACATATTAAAGATAGTATCATGACTACAGTATTACTAAGTGATTAAAAATTAGAGCTTTGGTGTCAAATAGACATAGGTTCAAATTCAGGCTCTGTCTGTCATTTTGGGTTTTTTTAGGCAGGGTCTTGCCATGTAGTTCAGGGTGGCTTTAAACTCACTTTGTAGCCCAGGCTGACCTCAAACTCAAATGATCTTTCTGCCTCAGCCAGCTGAGTGCTAGAATTATAGGTACGTGTTACTGTGCCCAGCTCTGTCATTTAATAATTGTGACATTTAATTTTTCTAAATTTGAGTTTCCTCATCTCTAAAATAGGCATAATGTAAGAATTATGTGAGATAATGCATTTAAAGTGCTTTGCATAATGCCTATCACTTAGTAAAGTCCATAATATTAACAAATACTACTATTACTATTAGCTCCATGAAGCAAGAAGGGAGATACACAATTCTAATTTATTGTAAATCCAGATAGATGAAAGAGAGAAGAATCTTGCTTGTAAGAGAATGGGAGGCATCTAGTCAGTCTATATATAAATCTCCACTAGAGTGGTGCCTAAAAGCTGAGATTAAGGAGAAACGAAATTAACTTCCTAAAAGTAACCAAACACACAACTAAGTGAGATTATCTATAATTTTATTTTATTTTATTTTTTTGGTACCGGGGATTGAACTCACATCCTGGTGCTTGGCAGGCAGGCGCTTAAGCCACTGAGCTAAATCCCTGTCCTTATAATTTTATTTTAGTTAAATGAAGTATATTTATGTCTAACATGAGATAATATAAATATTATATAATGAAGATGTGACATTGATTTGTACTCTTTACCAAGAGAGAGATATTACTATTCAAGAACTGTTTGAGTTTCTTTTTTTCTCCTTTTGGGTACTAACAATTGCATTTCAGCTCTCTCTCTCCCTCTCTCTCCTCTCTCTTTTTTCTATCCTCACTCTTTCCCTTTCTCCACACTGCCACCTTCCTGCCTTAGCCCCCCAGTGCTGAGATTACAGGTGCGCACCACCATGCCCAGCTACTTGTTACACATTTTCCTTAGCAGGTATAAGTGAACCCAGACAGGTGATGGCGCATGCTTGCAGTCCCCATACTTGGGAGTCTGAGGCAGGAGGACTCTGCATTTGAGGCCAACCTGAACTACATAGTGAGGCCTTGTCTCAGAAATAAATAGATGTAATCAATTTTCCTAATTAAAGTGTATTTCTTGCTTCTAGACAATGATTTTTATATAACTCACCATTGTCCCCTCCTTGTATTCATCTTGTGGTATATGCTATTTTTGTTTTTGTTTCAGGGTTTTGGGGTCTGTACTCCGGGCCTCACACATCCTAGTCAAGTACTCTTATCCCTGAGCTGTGTCCTTAGCCCCACCTCTTTTTTATTTTTATGTTGAGACGGGTGTTGGTAAGTCATTCAGACTGGCACTGAACTTCGGATCCTCTGGGCTCAGCCTCTTGAGAGGCTGGCAACGTGTTTGTGCACTACCATGTTCAAATCCTATGCACAATTTTTAAAGTTTTCTCCGTCAAAAATTCTTTATATAGAAGGAGTACTTCTCCCACTGTATTTCCTTACACTTTTGTCTTTTGTTATTTTGATCTTATTGTGCCTATTTCACATTCTTTTAAAAGGTAGATAAGGTATAAACAGCTCAATAAAAGAAATATAGCTTGTATTGTGTGTGTGTGTGTGTGTGTGTGTGTGTGTGTGTGTTTGGGACACAGTCTCACTATGTAGATCAGGCTTGTGTTGAACTATGTAGCCCAGGCTGACCTCAGGTTCATAGCTATACTCCTGCCTTGCCTCCTGAATGCTGGAATAACAGGTGTGTGCCACCACACCCAGCTTGTTTTCTTTACCTTGTTACAATTTATATATATCGCCTATAATCGCTAACTGAATCAGGTGTCTGTAGTGCCCAAAAGTGTAAGAAAATCCCTCATAGCCAGGCGTAGTGGCTCACACCTGTAATCCCAGCACTTGGGAGGCTGAGGCAGGTGGATCATTGCAAGTTCGAGATCAGCCTGGGCTACAAAGTGAGCTCAAGGCCAGCCTGAACTGCATAGCAAGACCCTGTCTCAAAAAGACAAAAAGAAAAAAAAAAGAAAAAAGAAAATCCCTCACATCAGATCTAGAGAAACTTTTCTGAAAGAGGTGGCAAGGTCTCGGTAAATCAAGAGTGTGTATAGGTAAGCAATATGTACAGTGTTTTTATTAGAAATAAAGGGGAGATATAAGTATGAGATTCTAGCACCTGAAAGACTCAAAATGGTGCACCTGTGAGGGTTTTAAAAAACACTGTAATCCTAGCTATTCAGCAAGCTGACACTAAAAAAATCCAGAGAATCTTGAACCCATGGGTTCAAGATCAGCCTAGCAGGACAGGGATATAGCTCAGTGGCTCAGTACCTGGCTGTCTGCCTGCCTGCCTGCATGGGAAACTCAGGACTGTGAGTTCAATTTCTGGTACCAAAAAAGAAAATAGAAAAAAAGAGACCAAAAAAAAAAAAAGCATCTCAAGACCAACATAGACAACATAGTGAGATACCATCTCAAAAACAAATACTTTGAGAGGGCTTGGAAAAATGACCATTTTTATTTAGCTTCTATATAGAAACAAAGATAGGAGTCATAATACTTGATATGACTTAACATCAAACTACTGCAGCACTAAAACAATCACTAAAAGTAAGCCAGACACAGTGGCCCAAACCTGTAATCTCAGCTACTCAGAGAACTGAGACAAAGGTTCCACGTTTGAGACCAGCCTAGGTAATTGAGTGAGACAGTCTCAAACTTTTAAAATCAGGGCTGGGGATGTAGTTCAGTGCTTTCTGTATTCAGTCCCCAGTACTGGGGAATGGGGAGGGCGAGTGAAAAGATAAAAAAAAAGCTCCACTGTGTTTAATTTGATCTGTTCCTTTCATTGAACATTACTACCTAATTATTTAAAAAAAGACAAGATAAGTGTAGATTGCACATTGCACTCCAGTTGTCTTAAAATTGGTTCTTAAGTCTAGGGGCTGAGATTGTAGGTGAGCACTAAAGCACTTACCTTGCACATGGGAGCCTGAGTTTGATCCCTGTAGAAACACACACATGCCACACATACTTGAGATTGGGGTAGGGGATACAGCTTAACTGAGCAGAGCTCTGAATTTGATCCCCAGTACCACCAAAATAAATAATAGGTCTAAGATTATTTTTAAATACGTATGTTGTAACTTTTAAAAATTAGAACTTTGAACTACATCACATTAAGGTGAATTTTATCATCTTAGGTTTTATTAGTGGAAGACTCAGAAAAATATGAAGTATTCAGCAAACCTGACAGAGAAGAGTTCCTGTTTTGTCTTTTTAAACATCTTTGCCTTGGTGGATCCCTTTGTCAATATGAAGATGTGCTTAATCCATACCTGGAAACAGCAAAGCTTATCTATAAGGATCTGGTGAGGTAATGTTGCTAGGTCACAGTATATAAATCTCTAGTTGGTGGGACAAATTATGTGTTTAACCATGGTGGAGATGACCAGCATTTCACTGTGGTCATATTAACAACCAGGGTGTATAAAAATAACACTTTCCTGAGCCAGTTTTGTACCTCCTCCTCCTCTTGCAGGCCTGAAAAATTTCTGGATTTCCCTGACTCTGTCCTAATTCTCAACTCTTTCATTCATCATTTATCTTTTCTTCCCTCCTTGCAAACTGTCACTTACTTCTTTATTAGCAACTGCCTTCTTCTAGGCCTCCCCCACCACCCACCTCCCTTTAAATACCAAAGAGCTCCCTCACTGGTGTTTGAGTTTGCTCAGCTAATAATAAAAAATTATTACCTTTGTTCTAAAAAGGTGGAAGAATTTTCATCTAGGTGTAATCTTTACTTCTTACACTATCCAGTTGATTTTAAGTATTTTACTTGGGTGTTTGACAATCAAATAAAGTTAAAAGCTTAATGAATTTCTTACTCATACTTTTAACTAAAGTCATTCTTTTCTGTTTGAATTTTTCAATTATAAAAATATTATCTTTATAGACAAGGAAAATAGAAACAAGAAGCATAGGGTTTCAGAGGTTAGTTATATAATTTTAGTTTATTAGGAAAACAGCAGAATCAGCTCATCAGATTCTTGTTAATTGACTTATATACAACTTTAATTTCCATTCCATAGTTATACAAAAATTGCATGATTTATTTAATTTCAGATATGGTTTTTATAATTATATAAGAGGATCTGATACAATTTTAAAAACAAAAGTATTTCTGTAATTTGATTTTAATGAAAAAATCAATACATAAAGATTATTTGGAGAGATATTACAATTTCAGAAAAAGTGCTTACAAATCTACTCAAACATACTCGGTTCTAATATGATGATCGCATGAAACTTGCACTTTTGGCACTCGTGAAGAAATGCCTCAGTTTATCCTCAGTGTGTGCACACACATACTACCACCACTCTCACTGCAGCAGCACCCCATCTGTCAAATGAACCTGTGGAATTCCTCACTACAATGGGCTGTGAAAGAGATTCTGTAGGAGGTACTGTGAAATAGAAATAACCTTAGAGCTTATAACTGCTGTTTTCCCCATTATTCCATTTCTTGGATTATCTTTGATTCTCCACTATGTCTTGTGGGTACTAGGAAAAAGTTTGTCTTGAAGAGTAATGATTGCTCACAAAATGAGCAGCCAAAAGTCATGACATCTTATAGGAAAAAAAGCAGTTGTCTCTGGGCAATCCATCAGGCAGCAGCAAGCATTAATATTATGCACAGATTTCCACCAGCCTCTAAAGGGGCTACAAGAAGTGTGTCACATAGTCCTTGATTTTAAGAAATTACAGCAAACCAATACATGCTAGTAAAGGAATTATTTAAAATCTCTAAAGAAAAAATTATTTATATAACCAAATATTCAGGCAAATGCTTACAGCTCTCTTATTCTCTTAACACATACACCCCAGAAGTTCAAAAGAAACGATCAGTGTAGGTATCAGCAGTCACAACTGATGAACTGAAAATCATAGGACCAAACAAAGAGAAGTACAGTCTGCTCCCAGTTTAGAAGTGCTTCAAAGTCTTGACTGTCTAAAGGAGGCTAGGAAGGAGACCAGCCCAACTGCAATTGTACTTTGAGAATCATTAAGTACTTATCCTGATGCCACAAGTTTGTGTGTGTGTTTTTGTGTAACTGGGAATTGGCACCAGGGCCTTGACACTGAGCTATATCCTCTAGTCATTTCTTACTGTTTATTTTGAAAGTGGGTCTTACTAAGTCTTCTTACTGTTTATTTTGAAAGTGGGTCTTACTAAGTCACTAAGTTGCCCATTTTGGGGTTTACCCTGTAATCCTTCTATTTCAGCTTCCTGAAAGCTGAGATTACAAGCATATGCCAGCAATCATTCCCAACTCTTTTTATTTTTTTATCTTGAGACAGGATCTTTCTAAGTTGCCCAAATGGTACTCAAACTTTGCTACCCACTGTGTTTGACTGAAAAGTGCCTCTTCAAAGATTATTATTCAGTTAAATCAAATAGGCAGTAGTTTAGAATCACTTTATGAAATAACAAATGATCAGTTGTTTCATTATATTTCAAAAATATATATGATAGCTATGCCTTTCAGCATTAAACATGTTCACATGGCTTAGATTGTCTTTAGATGCTAGTTAAACTTTGGTGTTCTTGTTTTTTTAAATAAGCAAAGTTACTTAGAATAGCTCGTTTACCCTGAAGTTTAGAGTCAATATGGGACTGATTCTCTAAAATTATCACAAAGATATTTATAAGCAGCGATTATTTGATTTCAAAACCATTAATAACACTTTTATTTTGTAGGGCTAAATATTGAATACAAGGCCTCCTACATGCTAGGGAAGTGTTCCCTGACTGATCTACATCTTCATCCTGTAATTATATTTTTAAAAAGCATCATAAGGGGGCAGATGTGACTTATACACACCTGTAATCCCAGTACTCTGGGAACAGAGGCAAGAAGGTCATAAATTTGACCCAATCCTGGACAACTTAGTGACTTAGTAAGACTCCATCTCAAAGTTTAAAAATAGGGCTTATTACACTTTAGATCTGAAATGTACCCCCCAGTGCTTCAAATGTACAGAAGTGGGGCCTGGTCAGAGGAGGAAGGCTATGACTGGATCAGTATATTCCTTTTCTTTTTTTCCCTCCAATTAGTATATTGTTATCTCCCACTTCTCTTATCTCTCTGCTTCTTGGCTGCCATGGATGAGCAGTGGTTATCCACTGTGCCCTTCCACCATGCCATTTCTGTATTGGAAACAGACATCCATAGACTGAACCCACTGGAAACCATAAACCAAATAAGTTTCTCTTTCCTTAAGATGGGAATCAGGCATTACGTCCCTGTGCAAAGGAACTGATACAGAGCTGGAGATGTAACTAAGTGATAGAGTACTTTTCTAGCATGTGTGAAACCCTGAGTTTAATCTCCAGCATCATAAATTATTTTTTAAAAGGGCTGGGTACATAGCTTGGTGGTAGAAAACTTGCTTAGTATGTGGAAGGCCCTGGATTTATTCCCTAGTACTCCAAAAATAACAACAACAAGCAAAAAAATTACAAATTATTTTAGAAATATTTAAGTAATCTTACTGTAGGACAAGGAGCAATAGAATGGGGAATAGTACAACTTACTTTTATTAGAAATCAACTTTAACAATGAAAAATATAAAAATTTCCTCTAAACTTATTTTGACAAGAACAAACTTTTACAAAGGTATTTTTTCTTTTTCTTTTTTTGTAGTGCTAGGGATTGAACTCATGACCTCACGCTTGCCAGGCAGGCACTTAAGCCATTGAGCTAAATCCCCAGCCCTGGTATTTTTTCTTTACATTTTTAATAATATAACAACAGTAAAGCAAGCAAATCGTAAGTAAATATACAAGTGAATTTTAATATGTGACTTCACTGTATATCTATGCCAGATTGTATTACAGTTAGATGAAACCATAAATGTGTTATTTTCATCTAAGTGGTTATATAGTTATATAGATATTTTATTTGCAGTGATTGTGGCCATTCTTTGGATAGAAACAAAACTTTAAATCTTATCTTCAACTTGCACTGTATCTTAGGCATTAGAAAAGTAAAAAAAAAAAAATGGCATTGGCCTATGTCATAGAAACATTTGGAAGCAATTTAATTAATTATAATTAATTATATAACTTAATTATATGAATTGTGGGTTTAAGTTTGAATGAAATGCTTAGGAGAAAACTGCCTAGGAATCTGTAACCCTGAAATGGGTAGAGCTGGCCATCTGCAAAAGGTATTTGAGATCACATATACACATACCTCTCCCACATAGGACTTCTTCCTCTTTCTCTTTCTCTTTCTCTTTTACAATTGTAGTAGAAAGGAAGCAATACTTGCATCTCGTAGTGGAGAAAAGGGGTATATCCTTTCAAAGTTTCCCTATTGCGCTATACATGTATACATATCATATACATATATAAGCATGAGCTAAACAGCTCATGTGTAGGAAAAAATGGATTAAATTTGAGTGAGCTGGGTTCTTTTTCTGGGAATGTCACTGTTACTTGAATCATCTCAAATATATTATTTAACTTCTCTTTCCTATAAAATTGACAAAATAACACCTATCTCAATGAATTGTCTAACCTTTCAACAAGCTAATTATATAAAGGTACTCTGCAAACTATAAGCATTATAATCTTTTGTTTGTGGGTTTTTTTTTTTTTTGTTGTTGTTGTTGTTGTTGTTTTGTTTTGTCTTTTTGAGACAGGGTTTCACTGTGCAGTTCAGGCTGGGTTGAGCTCACTTTGTAGCCCAGGCTGGTCTCGAACTCTAATTAGTCCTTCTGCTTCAGCCTCCCAAGTGCTGGGATTATAGGCATGTGCCACCAAAACCAGCTATATATTTGTATATATAACAATTAAATATCTGTAGCTTATTTACTCAGTCTTTAGTTCACTTCCTTCTTACATATTGCCATAGGTAATTTTTTGTAGGAAGAGTAACTGCAAGAGTTATTGATAGAAAAGTATTTTAATATGCAATGTATAATGTAACAGATAGCTTTTCATATATATGAAATCTTAACCTGAAAGGAACCATATTAGGCTCAATTTACACCTAAGAAAATTTAGATCAGAGAGATTACTTTTCTTCAAAGTGAAATAATAACTCAGTGGCAGAACAGGAATTTGTGTTTAGGTTGTTTGATTATTTAGTTTAATCTGCTTTTATCTACCCTTTATAGCTATCTAAACTTCAATCTGACTTTTATAAATTTTTTTATCCAATAATCAGTTCTGTGACATAGTAGAGTCATCATCTGAGTCTCAGACTGACCACATAGCTTCTAAACATAAAATCCAGTTACCTGCTGAAATTTTTGTTTAGCTGACTTTGCCCCATCTTTGGGTGAATCCTCAAATGCTTTCCTTCTTAAACCATTTTGGTTAGATATTGTGTGTTTCCATGTTCTATAAGAATAAGAACATCTAAATACCAAAAAGAGATCATTACTTGAGTATGGCATGCCAGTCCTTACACATAGACACACACACTCATGCATGCACACATGTGCACATACATACACACTCTTTTTTTATGGCTTTCAGATGAGTTTGTTAGCTCAGCAGTCAAAGACAAGTTTTCCTCCAGGGCTGTTTACCTTTATAATCAATACACCTTGTCTATTTCCTGTCAAGTTTTTCTATAAACTCGCAGTTTTATTTCCTTGGGGCTGTAGGATGTAATCCAAGCCATTTGGTGACATTGTTCCCTTAAGTCTCTTCAAATGATGATATCCATGTTCTCTACTTATTTTTCAACAGGTTTAACTTTTCTGAAATCAAGATGTATCTTCCTGTCCAAGTGTATACTTATATGAAGCTTTTGTCCTTTGTTTCCTTTAAAGAATTGTTATTGAAATAGTTGTTTACCTTCAATCAGCAGTGTCTAAGAAATCAAAGTTGAAGGGTCATGGCATTGCTTGCTGCACACATGGGATCCAAAGCTCTACAAACCCACTTGCAATTTCCTGTACTCCTGCCACCCAGTATCTCACAAACCTCGTCATTTTGGGCTTCTTACTTAGACCCACATCCTTGTGGTTCCCTTTACCACCTTAGGCACTGTATTTTTAAATTTTTATTTAAAATTTCAACTATTTGTTACATTTTAAAATGTAACTTTTTCTCTTTTTTAGTGTTCGAAAACATCCTCAAACCAAGAAAATACAAATTACTTCTTCTGTCTTTAAAGTTACAGCCTATGTAAGTATGAATTAAAGTTTGCAACAAAATAAATTAAATTCTTATTATTAATGGACTTGTTGCAGCTGGATGTGTTGGTACACACCTGTAATCCTAGCATTCTGGGAAGCTGAGGCAGGCTTAAGCCTTGCGTGGGTGATTTAGTGAGTTAGTGAGACCCAATCTCAAAAACTTCTTTAAAAAGTGGAGTAGAGCAGAGCTGGGGATGTAGCTCACTGTAGACACCCTGGTCTATGTCCAGCACCAGGAAAAAGAACAACTGGAGTTAGAAATTAACATACTATTACGACTAGGAGAGAAGATGATGACACAGTAACTAATGTTTTATTAAAATTAAAAGTTGAATAGCCAGATGTGGTGGCACACACCTGAAATTACAGCACTTGGGAGGCTGACACAGGAAGATTACCTTGTGTTCAAGGCCAGCCTGGGCTCTATAGTGAGTCCAAGGCCAGCCTGAACTGCATAGCAAGACTTTGTCTCAAAAAACGAAGAGATTAAATTTAAATAAAAGATGATGGCTTTTATTTAGAGAACCTTTTTCCATTGCTTCCCTTCTGTTGTCTCTATCTAATAATGTTCCTTACTTATGATAGAGCTAAATCTGTAACTCATGAAATAGCACAATTCTCTAGTCTGTCAAGCTACAATTTATAGAGCAAATAAGAATGCCATAAATGTCTTTAATCATAAAATCTGCTACTTGAATTTTAGTGTCAGACAAAAGATATTACATATGAAGCAGTTTCTGAGTATCTTTAATCACTTAACAAGTATTTATTAAATATTTGTTGTGCTTGAACTTGTGCGCTGGACTACAACACAGTGATAAACAAAAAAACATAGTTTCTATCCTCATGAAACACAGGGACCTGGTTCCAAGAAAAAACAAGGTCTGGTGTGATGGCATTGTGAATTTGAGGCCAGCCTGATTTACGTAGTAAGCCCCTGTCTCAACCCTCCCATAAAACTAAATAAATAAAAGAAAACAAAGATAGAAGAAAATTGCTAAATAGAAAATTTTGCAATATTAGCATATTAAAAGCACTTTTTTAAAAACACAGACTTTTCCTTTGCATTATAAATTCCTCAAGAATGTGAATATATGTTATGTAAATATATAGTACAGATTTATTCATAATACAGTATTTATTCATAATACAATACATAGACTGCACTGTTAATAAATACTTTAAAATGTTAACTGCCAATTTTTTTTTCTGTCTTTTTGAGACAGAGTCTATGCAGTTCAGGCTGGCTTTGGGCTCACTTTGTAGCCCAGGCTGGTTTTGAACTCAAAGTGATGCTTCTGTCTCAGCCTCTCAGTTCTGGCATTACAGGTATTTATTTATTTGTTTGGTATGAGGGATCAAATTCACAGTCTCACACTTGCCAGACAGGTGCTTGTGCCACTGAGCTAAATCTCCAGCTCCTTAACTACCAGTTTATTTACAAAGATTTTATGTTTCAACAGAAAAAATATATAGTAGTCAAATATGTTAATTATTTAAATGTATTCATATACTAAATAATTTAAGGTTTATCTTTTTCAGGATTCTACTGGTGTGTGCTACCCTTCAACAAAGAATCACGAACAGACATTTTCTTACTTTATTGTGGATCCTATCAAGCGTCATGTTAATGTTTTATACCATTGTTTTGGTGTGGGAGAAATGTCTTAATGTTCTTTCATGTTATCTGTATCTACTGTGTTTTAATTTATCATTTTTCTATCTTACTATTAATTTATGGACAAATATTTACTTTGTAGATGAGTTCAAGTGAAATGTAAAGAGCATGCTTATACCTGAAGAGAGCGATCATCAAGAGTTTGCTTTGTCAAAATTTGTCTGGCTAACAAATTTCTATTCAAGGGGAATCTTCTAATATAACCTATATAAAACATTGTGAAATTTTTACAGAAAGTTACAACAAACTAAAAATCTCATTCATATTTGTCAGATGAGAAGCTGAACATGGTAACACACATCTGTAATCCTAGCACATAGTTGGCTGAGGTAGGAAGATGCATAGTTAGTTCAAGGACATTTTGGGCTATCTACTGAGTCCCAATCTTGATAAATTAAAAGCTAGTGTTTGGTGACATCAAGTAAAGGGCTAGAGGATGTACCTTGGTGATAGAGCCCTTGCCTAGCATGCATTAGGTCCTGGGTTCCATTCCCAGCACTGCCTCCCCCCCAAAATATTCATGTGAGTTGTAAATTTTTTATGTTAGCTTTTTTTTTTTTTTTTTTTTTTTTTTTGTCTTTTTCTTTTTTATTGGTACTGGGGATCGAACTCACGACTGCTTGCTTGTGAGGCAGGCACTTATGCCGCTGAACTAAATCCCCAGCCCCTCATACTAGCTTTTTAAACTTGAATTTCAATTAATACATGTTCGTCTAAGTTTCACATCTCTACCATAAGGAAAAACAGCAATTCTTTTGCTTCATTTACTCCATTCAAAATCCTCCATTTAAAAAAAAAATTCTAAAGTAATTGTAAACTTTTATCACATAATAAATTAACTACAGCTTTCCCACACCTAATATAAGATGTGCAGGTAAACAGAGAAAATTGTCTTGATTATAGTATTAAATTGGCAAAAGAATGAGAAACAAGTTGTCTTGGTACTGTCTCTCATTACACTCATATGATTAATGCTGTGTATTAGATTTTTCTTAATAGAAGTAGTGATTGACATGTATCTCATAAGCAGGACATATAGAGATGAGGAGCAAGTTTAGAATATGTGTTTCTTGGGGCTGGGGATTTAGCTCAGTGGTTTAAATGCCTGCCTGGAAAGCATGAGGTCATGAGTTTGATCCCAGCACCAAATACAAAACAAAGCTAAAAAAGAATATGTGTTTCTGAATTACAGGAGTAATCTTAAATTTGAACCTGAATTTGAATGTGGAAGGCAGCCAGCAACTTGAGAGTTGTGTAGTATTTGCTTTAGCTCAGTATCTAGTGCAAGCCCTTAGCACCTTAAGTGTCTACTGAAGGAATAACTGTGTTCCAGATATGTTGCAGTAGATGGAATATACCCTATCTGAAATGCTAGGGACCAGAAGGATTCAAGAGTTTTTCACCTTTTGGTATAATCTGCTGATTAAGCATCCCTAATCCAAAACTGTAAATACTTTAAATATAAAACTTCTGAATCTGGATATGACAGCAAGAAGTAGCATTTCTGATTTCAGATTTGTGGATTAGGGATACTCAACCTGTAATATTTATAGATTTCTTCCCCAAATTTCTTTTTTCAATATTTTTATTGATATATAGAAAACATACAAATTGTATATATTTGTGGAATACAATGTGACAGATGAGTATAGGTATATAATGTATAATTTTTTTGTAATTTAAAATTATGTAAAAATAATCCAGGTGTGGTGGCACATGCCTGTAAACCCAGAACTCAGGAAGCTGAGGTAGAAGGATTGCTGTAAATTCAAGTCTAGTCTGGGCTATGAAGGAAATTCAAGACCAGCCTGATATGCATAGCAAGATCCTGCCTCAAAGACAAAAAATAAAATTATGTAAAAATGTAACAATGCTGGACATGGTGGCACTATAATCCAGCACTGGGGGAGATTGAGGCCTGAGAATTGCAAATCCAATCCCAGTCTAGGCAATTGAGGGAGACCCTGACTCAAAATAGCCCTGGGTTCAATCCCCAAAGTAAAAGCAAGAGCTAAAATTAATTGCTACTAGTCTTGCTGTAAACCACACAATCCCCCAGGTCCAAACCCTCAGTCAATCAGTAGCTTTCTTTGAATTCCATGTCTGTGCAGTTTGCATTAGGAATACATGCATTCTCTATAAACCTAGCAGGGAAGTTAATTTCTGGAAGTGTGACAACAGAGACCAGTCCATCAATTCAGAGATGGAAGAGTTTATTGTGAGCAAGGACCAGGGGAAGGGTTTAATCTGCCTTCCGTAGGAAATCTAATATGGTTTTATTTTATTTATTTTTGGTACTGGGAATCAAACTCGGGACCAGGTAGGCGCTGTGCTGTCGCGCTATATCCCTGACCCCTGCTACGGTTTTAACAACTAGAGAGTTGAAGGGAGTCTGGGATGTGATGGGGCAGGGTGTGCTGAGCCCAGATCTAGGTTCAAAGGACAGCAGTAAAAGGTAGGAAACAGTTAATGTTTTTTCTCAGCCTTCAATGTAGAAGTAGAAAGTTCCTTGTAGGAGAGATTGCTCTATTGTTTTGGGAAAAATCACTTGAATGGCCCATCTGTGATTATGTAAATTATCTAAATAGAGAAGCATAATAGGAAAGTGATATAGAGTTTGGGTGGAGTTGGCAAATGGCCTGAATTCTTAATGACTTACTGTGTGACCTTCAGTTGATTACTTAGCCTTTCTCTGCCTTTTCTATAAAAGGGAAAAAATAAGACTTCTTCATAGGTTATTTTGAAATTAATACATATATTGGGTTTACAGTGGTACCAAGCATATGGTTTAAGTGCTCATGAATTTTGACTATACTTTTTTCTCAACTGAGGAAATAAGATAGAAAGAGCTCATACCTGCATAATGTAAACCATCTTTGGGAGCTAATTGCTTTTTTATAGATTATTATTACTTTGACTAGATAGAATATAAAAGAAAAATTAGTTTGCCTTCTCTCCCTGGGCCCAGAGAATGTAGAAATCCCCATTTCAGGTAGAGGTAATATTTTTTTTTTTTCTTTTTTTGGTACCAGGGATCGAACTCACGACTGTGCACTTGTAAGGCAGGCGCTTATGCCGCTGAGCTAAATCCCCAGCCCTAATTCCCATTTCAGGTGCCCATTTTTTTTGGTTTTTGTTCTTGTTTCATTGGGAGGGGGTTGTTTTTGTTCTCCTATTTTTTTGCACACTGGGATTTACTTTCTAAACTAATCAGTTTACTATCTGTCATGAAATCAAGTATGGTGTCACACTCTTGTAATCCCAGTACATTGGAGGGCTGAGGCTGGGGGATCTTGAGATCAAGGCCAATCTGGGCTACTTAAGAAGACCTGGTTCTGCCCCAAAGGTAAACAAGGATATCCATCTTATGAAAATAGGACTTGTGTCTATTGTTCACCCTTGTATTCCCAGTGCCTAGCATAATACCTGGCACTTAAAAGACAATAAATACACGTTTTCTGCCTGCCAGAATCCATTTGATGCAGGGCAGCTGGCCTTGAAATGGGGCTTCTGGGAACAGAAAGACAGGGAAGGGGAAAGGTCAGCACTTAGGTCAGAGAATATCAATATAAAACCCTCCTCTATAGGGGCTTAAACCGGTGGACTCTTGTAACCTTTATATCTCCATGCCTATCTTAAGTTTTCTGTTCTGCAGCCCCTGTAGTTATCCCTAAACCTTTTGTTAAATTCTGTGAACTATTGTAGTCTGGATTTAGCTGTACAGTGTGGGATTAGCTGTGCAGCCTGGGAACATGCCTGGGGCAGTGTTGTCCCTGGAGAAGAGCAGCAGCCTGTGGCAGCCAGTTTTGAAAAAGCAAGCTCTGATCAGATGAGAATGGAAGGTTGTCTGGAATGAGACAGCTGACCATGTGCAGCAGACGTGATAGGGGCCTTGAGAATGGTTTTCTCGGATTGGAGAACATTCTTCAGAATTCCAAATGTTACTTTCATAGAACAGTCTCACAAATCTGTAATTTGGACATTAAAAAGAGAGACATAGGTTAAAGGTCAGAAAACCTGGGACATTTAGTCCCCTGAGCAAAAATAAATACTAGGCATAAACACATAGGAGTTTGAAGAGACCTGAGTACACTTGAGTAGTAGTTGAAACGGGGAAGTCCCACCCAGGGGTTCTGGGCACCATCAGGGCGACAAGCGGGTAGAGACCTGATAACTGAGGGTTGTGGGTGCAAAGCTAAGAAATTTACATCTTTCAAGTAGGTGATGTACAGCAGTCATCAGAGATTTTTGAGCAAGAGCAAAGTATCATGTGACATTCTGGAACCACAGTCGACATTGATGAATCCGTATGAAGAAAGTTCAAAGATGAAATAGATTATTGTACTTGTCAAAGCACAGTTAACCGAGCTGAGTAATAGAAATGGCGAGCTCTCTGGGCATCATGAAGTATGCAACGACAATTGAAAGCTTATTAGGGAAAAATAAAAACAGATACAATTCAAAGAATATTAGCCAATTAGTGAACTAGAAGTGTTGGTTATCTGAAGTACTGAAGACCAGGAAGTGGGAACTGTGGTAGGAACTTGTGGTCAGAGAGCAGAAAGGGGAAACCCCTGACTCTGAGCCCTCCCCTCCTGTTCTGACACAAAGGCCAGTCTTTCCAAACCATTCTCAGCCAGTTTGGGTCCTTAAAACTTTGAAAATGGGTATGAGTTGGGCATGGCAGCACATGCCTACAATCGAAGCACGTAGGAGATTGAGGAAGAAGGGTCTCCTCAAGTTCAGCCTGGGAACACTGTGAGTTCAAGGCCAACCCACACTACAAAGCAAGACCTTGTCTCAGAAAGCCAGGGGGAAAAGACAAGATTTTCTGTATTAAGGAGTTTATATTCCAGTGCCAGTGATTAAGTGCAGTGAGAGACAATACCCAATTACTTCAAGTCTTATTAGAGACCTAAGAGACTCATAAATGTTAATATTACTGAGTATTAAAATAGCCCTTAAGTATCAAACGCCTAGCAGAGACTGTAATTGCTAACATTTCAGTCAGGTAATCAGGAAACTCTTCAAAGAGGATCTGGAACTCAGGGAAAGTTGGTGAAGGAACAGGTGTGAAAGGGTACACCGAAGGGAAAAATCAAGAATAAACTTTCGTATGTCTGAGTATTCCCAGAGAAACCCACAACCTTACACTTCACAGAAGTTAGTCTTTGTCCTGTATATTAGATGTTGGTTAAAATATTCAGGGAAAAATCAGAATACCCATTCATTTTCATGCAGTATTATCTGATATGAACAACAAATGGGTGTTACTAGACATGGACAAATTGTTCTCCAAAATGTTTGCACTGATTTATGATCCTACCATGGGTATAAGAATTTTCACTCTAGCCAACACAAATTGTACCAAGTGTACAATTTTTAAAAATCTGATGACTCTGAAATGGTGTTATTTTAGTTGCTTTGATTTTTTTCATGTGATAGAGCATTATTTTGTATATTTTCTTGAACACGCATATAATTCTGGAGGGCAACCCTACGTTTCAAAACCACTGCTTTACTCTATACTGTTTCAATAAAAAACGTGAGAGACAAAAGGAGAAAATTAAATGACAAGACCAAAGAAAAGCATAAAAAGGGAGTATGCTCTTTCAGTAAAAGCTGCATTAATTTGTGCTAAAAGCTGCATTTAGCATCACATTCAGCAGTGTCCCAACTGTGAAACTCTTAGCAGCTGGTATACCTGACACCCACTGGTGTAAGTCTTTAACCTCCTCACCTGGCACAGGTTAAGGACTGGGGAAAGGCAGACTACGTTCCTCAGGAGTTCTCATGCTCGCTCTGTTGGGCACTCTTTCTCCTCCTCGTCACTCCTTCCTTTGCCTCTTTCCTCTCCCCTTTATGTGTGTAGGTATATGTAAGGAGAAAAAAAGTTCACTGAGCTTTAACAAATACTAAGAATCTGTCAGTTATTTTCCTGGTCTTTTTCATTTGTTAGATTCATTGAGAGAAACAGTAAATAGAAACCACCTACACCAATGCAAATTAACATTTATTCAATCTTTCTTTTATTGACCAGCATACTTTGTTCCCTTAATATATTGTAGAATAAAACTACATTTACAAATATTTAAGAGGAAATAGTTTAAGCATATCACTGAAGCTTTAAAGGAACCAATAGAGACTTTAGAGTCAAGGATGATTTATAATGAAAGGCCTCCTTGAGAAGGGAATTGAGGTGCATTTAAAAAGAAACAGCAGCCATGAACTGGCTCAGAGAAGGAATAGTTTCTTGACAGAATGTCCCATGTTGTGCTCTAAAGGTAGGAAATGCATGTGGGCTTACAGACTTTCTTGAATAGAGCAACAGATCTGCTTAGAAGAATCATCTGCTGTGTGTCATAACAACACTAAGCCTGGAGACATACTGGTGAGCAAAACATACAATCACTGCTTCTAAGAAATTTAGTGAGCAAAAAACATTAAAGTATAAAAATCATAAATTATTATTTCGCTAGGAAACATTAGTCTGGGAAGACTCATGTAGGTAAGTAATAATACTTAAGCATACAAATGTTCAGAAAAATTTCAGCATA